TGGTATTTTGCGACCTTTATGGTTCTTCAGTTCCAATGGATGTATTTCTTCTTAGGGTTTTCTACTTAGATAATCATGTCATCTGTGAATAAGGACTGAGCTATTTTTCCCAATCTGTACACTTTTCTTTTACTTTTGTTTTTTTCTTTCCTCATTACATTAATGAAGATGACCAGTACTATGTCAAAGAGAGGCACAGAACTAGATTTAATTACTAGTGAGGGGACACAGAATTCATGATATTTCTTAATTATCTGTTTATGTCCATAGGAACAGTAGCGATGTTCTTTCTCATTCTGATATTAGTAATTTGTCTGTCTTTATTTCTTGATTAACCTGCTAGAGGTATATCACTTTTATTGATCTTTTCAAAAAACCAGCTTTTAGTTCAATTTATTTTTTCTCTATTAATTACTTATTTTCAATTTCATTGATTTCTCTTCTGATTTATTAGTCTTTTGTTTTGCTTATTTTAAATTTAATTTGCTCCTCTTTTTAGAGTTTCCTAAGGTGGATTTTAGATTATGGGTTTTAGATTTTCTTTCCTAGTATGTGTTATGAATTTCCCTATAAACACTACTTTCATCCAATTCCACAAATTTGGGTAGGTTGTTTTTTGGGGTTTTTTTTTAGGATTTTCTTTTAAAATTTCTCTTGAGACTTTGACTCATGTGTTTTTTAGCAGAGTGTTGTTTAATCTCAAGATATCTGGGAATTTTCCAGATAGCTTTCTGTTACTGAGTCCTAGTTTAATTCCACTGTGGGCCAGGAACATACTTCCTATGATTTATATGATTTGTTAAGCTTGTTTTATGGCTCAGAATGTCTATCTTGGTTAATGTCCCATATGAGTTGGAGAAGAATGTGTATTTGGCTGTTGTTGGGTGATGTGCTCTATAAATGTCAATTAGATCCAGGTGACTGATGACACTGCTCAGTCTAACTACGTCCTGATGATTTCCTCCCTCCTGGAAGTGTCAACTACTGAAGGCGTGTTGCAGTCTCCGGTGGAGGGTGGATAATCTGCTTCTCCTTGCGCTTCTCCCAGTTTTTACCTCACATATTTTGACACTCAAACTTTAGGTGTTGGGGATATACATTAATGACTTCTAAACATTTGCGGAGAATCAGACCCTTTTATCATTAAGTGACAGGTCTCTTTATTCATGGTAAACTTTCCTGTTCTTGGTTCTGCTTTGCCTGAAACTATTATAACCATTCAAGCTTTCTTTTGGTCCATATTAGCATGGCATAACTTTCTCCACCCCTTCACCTGTAATGTGCCTATGTCTTTATATTTAAAATGATTCTCTTTCTCATATCTTGCTCTTTTAACTTGTTTAGACAGTATCTGCTTTTTAAATGGTGCGTCCTCACTGTTCACATCACAGTGGTTGTTGTCACAGTTGTATGAACTTCTACTGTCTTTGTACCTGTTTTCTGTTCTTTTGCATTTTGTTTCATCTTTTGCTCTTCCCCTGTTTTCTGCCTTCTCTGGTTTTGAGAACTTTATAGGATTTTATTTTTTGCTCTTTGTTAGCAAATCAATTATGCCCTCCTAAAAGAATCAGTTTCTCTAAAGTTTCAATAAACATTTTCAAGTAACCCAATCCACCTCCAGGGGCTCTATCCAGCTTTAGCAGTCTTGAGATGAGGATTGTGCCTGAGAACCCCAAATTCCCCCCCTGGATACTTGCAGCATCCCTGATGTTCATGTCCTTGATCTGCGTGGAGCAATCAACCACTGCATTGTTGCTATTATTACTGTTATCTGTGAAACAAATGAAGGATAAGGAAAATAAAAGATCTAATTGTACCTTTATTCTTTCTGTGATGCTTTCCATTTTTTTTATGTAGATTTGCATTTCTGGCCCATATAATTTTCCTTCCTGCTGAAGAATATCCTTTACTGTTTTTTGAAGGGCATTCCTTCATTTGAAAAATTCCTTTGGTTTTTGTTTCTCTGAGAAAGTATTTCTTCTTCACTCGTGAAAGGCATGCGTGCTAAAGGCAGATAACTGCAGTGGAAGGGCTTCTTTTCACCACTTTAAACGGTCCGTGCTAGCCTCCTCCTGCTTGGCTGGACCCTAATGAGACGGACGGAGCTCTTACCCTTGTTCCTCCAAGGCGAAGGTTTCGGTTGATTTGCTTTCCCCACCCCACTGGTTTATTTCAAGATCTTCTCTTTACCTTGATTTCCTGGTTTGAATACACTATGCCTGCGTGCAGTGCGCATTTTTTGGCATTTGTCCTGTGCAGAAGGTGTTCTCTGAGGGGCCTGGGTCTCTTCTTTCTTTTGGAAACTTCTCAACCCTAGGTATTTCAAATATTTCTTATTCTTTGACTGCTCTGTTTTTTATCGTCCTGGTTTTCCCATTGCACACATGAAACTCCTTTTATAATTTTGTTATTGTTCTTGGATATTTTGCTCCATTTTTTTCAAGCTTTTCCTCTATGTTTCAGTTTGTGGAATGCGTAGCGACATTTCCTCTGCCCTGTGAAGAGTTCCTCTGGGCCCATCCAGTGTACTTAGACAGCCACACAAGCCAGTTGTATAAAAGCGTTTTTCATCTCTGTCGTTTTCTCCCGGTTCTCAGTGTTTCCAGCCCTCTGTTGACATCACCCATCTGTTCTAGCATGCTGTCCACTTCTTCCATTACAGCCTTGAATGCACTAATCAAAGTTAGTCAAAATTCTGCCTGGTAATTCCAACATCTGTGCCACCTCCTCATCTGACCTGCATGAGGCTTCCCCTCTTCAGACCCTGTCACTGCTCTCGGCACATCAGGCGTTTCTGGGTGAAATCTGAGACGGGTGCCCCTGGAAGTGGGACCTGAGGTGCCCTGGATTTTCCTGTGGGCTTTTGTCTGTCTGTCCGGAGCTGGACCCTGCTTAATGTCTGCTCGCTCCCCACATGCTCAGGCTCCTGGTCTTGTGGTTCCTCTCCTGTTGTCTTTGGGTATGCCTAAGCAGGCCTTTTTGTACAGCTAATGAATTTTTTGATTGACACACGATATTTGAATAGATTTATGAAGTAGGAGATAACATTTTGATTCAAGTATACATCGGGGAGTGATCGACTCACAGTAATTCGCGTACCCCTCACCTTCAATTGTAGCATTTATCAACCCTCTGTGTTGACATGTACAATGCTTTATTGTTAACTGCTTTCACCCTTCTAGGACACCGAGTACGGAAACTTGACCCTCCTATCTAACCAATTTTGTATTCATTGACCCGTCCTACACTCCCCAGCCTCTGATAATGACCATTCTCTTCTCTCCTTTCCTGAGATCAACTTTCTAAGAGTCCACCTATAAATTGGAGCATCTTTTTAAATTTCCTGTCTTGTGCAACACTCCCTACCACTTGGAACATCCTGCTGTTTTCCTGGAGCCCTGTTGTAGAGGTATAATATTATGATTAAATTTCAGATGTTTTCATGGTCCTCCATTTTTGCCTGGGACCAGATCTGTGTAGGGATCTTCCCTCCATTGAGTGTGATGGCACCACACCCCAGTAAACCCATGAGGCATTGAAAATATCATAAGATGACAAGGCATTATATACACCCAATCTACCAAGCTTTGGCTCAGCCTTGCCCACCTTAGGTGTGCTCAGAGTATGGATATTCATCTACCATTGGGCTGTATCATCTAACTCATGGCTGGTTTTATAATAAAGTATTGAATAACTCATGTAACTTATCGACTACTGAAATAGTGAAAAGCAGTGCCCATCTTATAAAGTTGAACATCTTAACTGCTTTGAAAGTTGGGGACCCTCTGAGCTCTTTCCATTCTCCCTTAGTGAGACAAGTAGGTAGGCCAGGCTCTCGGGTGGTGGAGTGCCCTGGGACAGTAGGGGGTGGCCTTTTATACCGAGACAGACCTTCTGGGCATATTTCAGAGTGGGTCCTTTCCCTCTCATCCCCTAAAGAGTGAAGCAGTTCCTCCCCATCATTTTACCCTGAGATCTGAGGACCTCCTGGAGGTAAAACCTACAACCTTGCAGTCCTGGGGCTGAAGTGGTTCAGGTAGCCCATGGCCAGGTTCCAGCCATCCCCGGTGTCCAGCTGCCTCCACTCCCACTGAGCAACCTTGGCTGTCATTCTGGGGTCTGCCTGTCATTCTGGGGTCTGCCTGTCTCTCCCCTTGGCCAGGTGACAGTTTGCCCTGGACCTCTCTGCTCCCAGCAATCTGACCAGAGCCTCTGGTGTCTAGTTTGCCAGGTTTTCTCTGCTGAGAGCACAGGTGAGATGCTTCTTTCCTTCTGGAGGCAACACTGGGAGTCTCAATGTATTTTTCTCTCTTTTTTTTTTGGTACTGGGGATTGAACTCGGAACCTTGTGCTTTCGAGGCAGGTGGTGGAATCACTGAGCTAAATCCCTGTCCCCCTCAATATATTTTAAAAGGTACTGAATGTAATCACACTGACAAGCAGATCAGGAGGAGGAAGGATGCTGGGACTGCCCAGGCTCCTTGATGGGGACGCGCCTCTGCCTTTCCTCCTTCTGGCCTGATGCATGGCCTGTGAACACTGTCCACTGTGTGTGGTGTTCAGGGCTGGGCTCGCTCTACCAGGTCTAGCCCCGGAGATTCCTCAGCGAGGTGGAACCCCATCCTCACTGGGCTTCAGTGCCTGTCTGCATCCAGATCTGGACTGGGTCTGTGTGACCTAAAGTGTGATGGGAGGGGGTGACTTTGGGGAATCTCTCCAACCAGACAGGCTGGGCAGGCGACCTGCTTATGAACAAGAGGGTAAGAAGGCAACAGCTGTGGCTGTGGAGCAGATTCAGCAGCCTCTGTGCACTGTGGTGTTGCCTGGCCTGGCTGCCACACCGCCCCTCCTGCCCCCTGCTCCCCCAGCCCTGCAAGGACCTGCCTGCCTGGCAGGTCCCTGGGCTCCTGGCTCCCTCCTCTCCTGGCCTCCTGAGGAAGTGTCTCTGGCCCGGCCAGCCTGGCCCTCCTCTTCCTGTTTCCCAGTGGGCCTTGTGGGCGGGACTGCAGGCCTGTTCTGTGTGCTCCTGGATTCCCTGTCCTTCAGGAAAGACACAGCTGCAGCTCTGGCCTTCATGCCTCAGGCCCTGAGTGGGGTGGCAGCACTGCCCCCTTCCGAGGCACACAGTGTGGTGGACCATGGGGACACTTCGGAAGGCCTCATCTTCCCTCTGTGCAGGTAACCCCACTCCAGCCCCACAGGCTCTGCCCAGCGGCTTGGGGACACTCAGGAGCACAGGCGACAGAGCCTGGCTCTGGGTGGGGGCGGGGCAGCACAGAGGAATGCTGAACCAATAAAAACCCCTTTGCATTTGCGGCTGTAAAACTTTATAGAGATTTCTCAACACATGACATGAATAATAACCAGGCTTTCTTTTCAGTTATTGCCAACCCAGCACAGCCTGTGAGGCCTTCTAAAGCCCAGGATCCCTGGGTGCGGGCCGACAGGGCCTGCCCTGCAGCAGCCTCCAGTGGCAGGAGGGGTCAAGCGGGCCTTCCGGAACCTTCTCGCTCCTTGTGATGGGCCTGGGGCGGAGCCAATGACCTCATGCCTCATTGTGGGTTTGATTGTTCCAATGGCCTATTGCCATGGGAAGTTGGCGAGTCCCCTTCCAGCCCCATTGTTTAAACTGGAGTAGGGGAGGTAGGGTGCAGGATTCAGCTTAGCTGGGTGGCACGGTCACCCCTGGCCTGGGGGATCTCAAGGCCCCTTTCCTGCCCCTGGCAAGCGACTGGCAGGAGGACGCTGGCCGAGCTGGGTTCTGAAATCATTTCCTACGAGGATGTTGCGGCCCCTGCAGACCAGTGGTGCCCTGCGCATGCTGTGGGGCTGCCTCTCCCGGTCCTACTGTGTCCTCCTCTCTGAGTGGACATGGCAGAGCCACCAGGCCCCCACGGTGGCCCCCACGTTCTGGGTGGGTGGGAGGAGCCAGGGTTAGAGGGGAGGGACAGGATTCTGGCTCCCAGGGCCGTCCTGAGAGGCAGTGAAGACGGTGGGGATGATGAGGGTATAAGCGGTGGCCTAGGTGGGCGGAAGGAGGGGCAGGAGCAGACCAGAGAAAAACCTCGCTCCTCTCCTGCCTGCGCAGCCCCAACCGGCTTGGGATTTTTGCCGTTAGCACTCCCCTTGGAAGGAGAGGAAATTAATGCATCTCACTTTCACTCCTGCATCCCACTTCCACTTCTACTCCCAAAATGTCACGGGTTGTCTCTCCGCCTGGCTGCCTCGCTTGCTGGCAGCGGATCACACAGGTAATAATTTATCCCTTGATGCTCAGGTGCAGCGCTTGAGGCTGCCAGGTGCCTGCACCTGCCCCGGGCCTGGACTCCTGGAAGACTCAGGCTCCTCGTGCAGTTTTGGCGTCTCCTGGGCTCTGGGATCAGGCTGCTTCCAAGGACAGGCAGGCTGCTCCTCACATGGACGGGTGCATGAGTGTGAGTGTGTGTGTGTGTGTGTGTGTATACATGTGTGACTGTACCCATTAGGTGGATATGCACAAATGCATGCACACACGTGTGTGTGCTTGTGTACCCACTATGTACACACTGAGAACTGTGTCCCAGCCATGATCACACTATGACACAGTGGGCCTGTCCCATCCCCTCGCACATCCCTCTGATCAACCGGCTGATTTCTCTGGCTCCTACCCCATGGCATCCCTGTGCTCAGTGCTGGCAGGAGGCTGCAGGGCCTGACAGAGGCAGGGAGGCTGTGGCAGGGGGGTCCCGGGCAGAGCACACCAATACCTCACCACTCTTTTCCTGGTCCCTGACTCCCTGCCCTGAGCCTCGATCTCTTGGCTGATGCACAGGAGGCATTGGAGGTGAGGATGCTGAACTTGGAGGACAGCAACGTCAGGTGAAGGGGAGGCAGCAGCCTGGACTTGAGCCCCTACTCAGCACATGCGAGAGGAGAATCCCAATACAGCAAAGGTTGTGACAAAGGGCAAAGAGCGGCGGGCGGATTGTATTCTGGAAATCACTTTTTTGTTTGTTTGATTTTTTTATGCGTGTGGAGTATTTTTTAAATAAATTTTATTTTATCTCATCCCCCCGACCCCCCTTCCCTCCCTCTGTCCAAAGCTTGGAAATCACTTACTGGTGATTCTAGTGGGAATGGACTTTCCACTCTCCACTCCTTGAAGGAGTCAGTTTCTCTGCATAGCCCTGGGCTCCTCACCACCAACCCACAAGTATCATTAAGTGCTGGTTATTGTGCGTTTGTCTTTCTGGTGGAGGGGAGCAATGTTTTCAATCCTCAAGCCCGGTTAATTCTAATTGAGCTGCATTCACTGAAGGTCCTGAAAAATACATTCTGAACAAACAGATGGTGGCTGGCCTGATGGACAGATGGACACATGCACTAATGGGTGCGAGACAGGTGAGAAGCTCCTAACCTCCTATTTTTCCCACCTCAGTGAAGAGGGGGCCTCCCCTGCCCTTCCCCTCACTCCTTGCCCCTACACAATTGACCTGGACAACTGGCTTCAGTGTCCTCACTGGGTATCTAGCAGCCACTGTCCTCTGGGGTGCTCCGACGTGAGGGCAGCCCCACTGTCAGTATGGAGTCCCTACCTCACTTCCACCACCCCAGAGGCTGCTGCTAGGTCTTAAGATCAGGAAGGGGTCTGGGTCAGTTGTCAACACCCCTAACTTCCTTGAGACCCAATTAGCCCTAATGAACACAGCTAGCCTTCCGGATGTTCCCCTGATCTCAGCTCTGCCACTTTCCTCACAGAAGCAATAATTGTCGGTCAACAACCGGCACTGTCCTACCCACTCACTGAGTCACAACTATGACAGCTGTGACTGTGCTGGAGCCCACATCCACTTGGACCAATCACAGGCCTGCAGCTACTAGATAAGCAGCACTCCCTTCTCTTTCTTGGGTCAGCCTAGGAGTGCCCTCTGCTGTGTACTGACCCCTGCCATGCTCCCACACAGGTACTATTAAAATAAAGTCTCACTTCAGTGGTCCTGTACATCTGCTCGTGATTTATTTATCAGATAGTGTGAGCTCCGAAGGTCCTGTAAATGTACTTAGGATTCTCCTGAGTTGTGTGGACAGAGTGGTCATCTCAAAAGAAAGAGCAATAAATGCTGTTGTCCTTGAAGAGCTCCAGAGACCAGCAGACAGTGAAGATCAGCAACTGAGACCTGCACCCAACAGTTTCCCAGTGGTGTTTGACACAAACCAGCACTGAATGGCAGCAGCTGGCAGTGACAGAGACCAGCAGCCAGCAGAGATGACCCATGACACCCGGCACAAGAAGAAGTGGCAGTAAGCAGCAGCTGGCTGGGTCAACTGTTGGCATACAGCATTAGCCAGCATAGTCTGGTGCCATCAGGACCATTAGCAGAGCTGCACTTTGCTGATCTGTGACTTCCATCTGAATGAGCAAAAGAACCCTCAACCCATCAGTGCCAGTGGATGGGCAATGGATGGATGCGTGGTGGGTGGACAGAGTGGGACTAGGTGATCCTACAAGTTGTGTTTGGATGGTGAAATTCCGAGTCTCAGATCTTCCCCTTTCACGGTGTTTTCTGCCCAGCATTTTGACTGTGGGTGCCTGGATGTGGCTGCTGGTCTTGCTTTGTCTCTTCTTGCCCACACCCAGCTTGGTGGCCTGGCTCCACACTTGGCACTGGTGCTTACCCTGAACTGACAGCCTGTCTCCCACCACAGAGCCTGGAGAAAAAGAGGCGGAGACCAGCATTGGCCAAGTGCCCCCTCCATCCACACAGGAGCAATCCTGGTACACAAAAAGGAATCCTGGTGTCAAACTGTTTGGGGCCACAGCATTGTAAGTCTTACCCCTTGAGATTCCGAGTGCTCCCTAGTATCCCTGAGGCCTGAGTGCTGTGCTGTGCTGGAGGGCTGTCCTGTGTAGCTGCCCATGGAGCCCTCTGTGTTGGGGCTGAGAGGAACCCTGAGGTGGGCAGCAGAGGGACTGTGAGTGGCAGACAACTGGGCTAAGACTGGGGGGGGTCCCTTCCTCACAGGGGCTGCTCCCCCTTTCAGAGTCTTAATTTCTTCATTTAGGATAAGAATACCAGTTCCCCCATGGGGAGGGATGGAGGGTACAGCATTAAGCACCTCATTCAGTGTATACAAAGAACTCCACACTGAGTACAGGCTAGATGACTGGTTATCATTCATATTTATATAAATGACATTTGCAACCAATGATGTTTAATACAGTCATGACATCCCACCTCCATTACCATCCAACTCTAGAATATTTCCATTGCTGCCAGAAGAGAGACCCAGCCCCATTAGTAATCATTCTTAACTCCCCCTCCCCAGCCCTGGAACATCGTTGATCTGCTTTCCTTTTCTACAGAGTCTTTTGCCCTGGACTTCTCACTTGGGGGGGATCCTGTAATGGGGGCTCCGTAGTGCCTGGCTTGTTCCACTGAGCGGGATATTTTTGAGGTTCTCCCAGGTGATTGGCCACTACCCAGAGGAAGACCAGGGTTAGCCCCAACGGAGAGGGCTCCAACATCACCAGAGTCTGTCATTCCAGACTTTATTAACTGATGAGCTCGCCTTCCCTCTGCTGCTGGGTTATCATGAGATGTGCTGATTGCTGCCCTGGCACACTGCTGTTCTACCTCCCCACAGCCCCAAAACAGCAGGGCCGACTGATCACTGACTGAAACCTCAGAATCCCAGGGCCGGAAGGAACCTTTCCTCTTATCCAGTTGAATCAGGCATTTGTTGTTACATTTGTTACATTTGCTATATTTGTTGCATTTGTTACGGTAACAGATAGCTGGCTAACACGATATATGTAGTATGTGTTTGTGAGTGGAGTGTGTATAGTAAACATTACGTTTGTGTGTTTGTATGGTGTGTGGCATGTATCTGTATGGTGTGCAGTGTGTATGCAATGTGTGGTGTGCTTTGTGTGTATAATGTGTATTTTGTGTTTGTGTAGTGTATAGTATGTTTGTGTGGTGTGAGTGTGAAATGTGTGGATGTAGTGTTTGTATGATGTCTGGTGGGGTGCTGTGTGTGATGTGTGTTGCATGTGTCCCTGGTGAGTGCTATGTATGTAGTGTGTGTGGTGTTTGTGTACTTTGTGTGTCTTGGTATGTTTACAGTATGTGTCACATGTGGTTTGAGCCATGCATGTGTATGTGGCATGGTTTTTGAATGTAAGTATGGGTGCATGTCTGATCGTGTGCCCTGGACAGCAGAGGCCTGACCTTTGCATACACACTGTGTAATGAGCTCGATGCCTCTCTATCATGCTCATTTTTGCTACCATCCTTGCATCCATCCATTTATTCATCTAACTATCTATTCACCTATTGACCTATCTACCCATCCATCCACCCATCCACCCATCCATCCCTCACCCATGCACCAATCTATCCATCATCTACCCATCCATCCATCCATCCATCTATTCACCTACCCATTCATCAATACACCCATCTACACATCCATCCATCCACCCACCCACCCATACACCCATCTACACCTCCATCCATCCATCCACACACCTATCCATCCATCCACCCCTCACCCATACGTCAATCTATCCATCCATCTATCCATTCATCCATCCATTCCCCTACCCACTCACCAATACATCCATCTACACATCCATCCATCCACCCATACACCCATCCATCCATCCATCAATGCATCCATCCATTCACCCACCACCCATCCACCCACCCACTGACTCATGCACCCATCTACACATCCACCCATCCATCCATCTATCCATCCACCCCTACACCTGTCTACATAGCCATCCATCTACCCATCCCTGCATGTGTCAGGAATTACACTGTAACAGGCCAATGGGGAGCTTATGATAAAAGTGACTGAACTCCAAGATGGCAGAGGTCACAGATGCTATATTCTGGTCCCACCATGTCTGGAGGCTTTAGAAGATCCTGGGACATCTTGAGTCCCAACTTTAGATGGGAAATAGCCTGTCTCTCTTGAGTCCTGACTCTGGAGCTTTACAGAGAGTTCACAGGCTTTTTTGAGCAAGTGTATGGTTATCCTAGACTTGTTGCAAGTAGAATGAGGAGAGAGACAGGATGAAAATCCCTTTCATTTACTTCATTTCAGGTTTTCTCCAGTTTGTTAAGTCATGCCCTCTGAGAACATATCGCCTCTGGACTTGTGTGCAAAATGTGAAAGCATTCAATTAAAAACCTTGAAGCCACCCTCCTGGGGCCCAGCTTAGTGTGGCTGCCCTGGGGGTTGTTCCACTGGGTGTGCTGGGAAAGCAGCATGCATGGGTCCGGGGCTGTCTTGCATGGTGGAGTCTTGGGTTGGTGCTATTGGAGGCAGGCATCTCCACTGAGGGCAAACAGGCAGAGTTGAGCCGGGTGTGCTGAGGGAGGACGAAGGTCTGGGCAGCCCACAGTCCTGTGTGCAGATCCTCCCTGGGATTCCTGGGGTTTTTTCCTAGTAAGAGCAGCCTGGGAAGAGCTCAGCTGGCTGGCAGTTCAGGGCAGGTACCAATGCTGTGTGAAGGTTTCTTGCTGTCTCCCCGCCCCCCCTTCCTCTTCCCTTCCTTTCTGTACTACGGATTAAACCCAGGGCTCTTGCTCCGAGCTGCATCCCCAGCCCTTTCATTATTTATTTAGAAACAAGATGTCACTAGGCCAGTGAGTTCTCCAGACTGGGCTTGAACACATGATCCTCCTGCCTCAGCCTCCCAAAGTGCTAGGATTATGGGCATGCATTCCATGCCTGGTTACGTCTAAGGACTTCTCTCTCTGTCACAATGGAGAGCCTGCCCTTCATTTGGGGTTATGTCTTTATTATGGGCTGGATTGTTCCCCCTACCTCAATGTATATGCTGAAGTTCCTGCCCCAGTTCCTCAGACCTTGACTAGTATGGAGATGGTCAGATGAAATTGGCTGAGTGAGTTTATACTACAGTTGGGTGGACACCTCCACCTGTGTGATGAGGGTCTTTGTAAGAAGGAACTTTTGGACACAAAGTCAGCCGTGGCTGGACAGTGCTGTGTGAAGACGGAGGTGGAGTTCAGGGGATGCAGGAACAAGTCTAGGGTCACCAACATGGCCAGCATCCACCAGAAGCCAGACAGGCCTGCCACAGACCTTGGGAGCCTCCAAACGTCCAACCTGCTGCACCCAGGTCCCAGGCTCTGGCGTCCAGGCCTGGGAGAGGGTTAATTTCTGTGGTCTAAGCCATTTGGTCTGGGGGCTGTGTTGGGGGGTCCCAGGAACCCCAAGGGAAGCAGAAGACCAGGCTGCTTCTGATGAGGGTACTTCTTGTGCCTGGGCTGATCGAACCCTGTACCCCTCGGCCCAGAATGGAGGGCTGTTCAAACACTGTGGGTGAGAAACGGGCTCACAGATATAGACAGTGAAGATGCCAGCTGCGGTAGAGACAGGGAAGTAGCATACATTCAGACCCCAAAGACGATGGGCTTGGTCCTGTTGTTCTGCCCGCTCTGAAGCTGATGTTGCTCAGATGGACTTCCGTCTTAAGAAAATGGCCCAAAAGCCAGCCACCAGCAGAACAGGGTGGGTGCTCCTGAAGCTTTCCTCTCTGCAGGGCCCACCTCTTGCAGGGGCAGAGTTTGGTGGATGCAGGGAAGCTGCCCAGGATGAGGAGCTATGAAATGTTTCATCACCCCAGATCCCTAGATGTCAGGTAGGCTTTCCTTTAAAGTCCAGCCTGGGCCATCCAATGACCTATTTTTGTCTCTTATAAGAGTTTTACATTTCAATATAAATAATATTAAGTGTGCTATAAAGTAATCACAGCATTAACAGTCTCTTGGATCTGGCTTCTCCACTTCAAATGTCTCCAGGAGTTATCTGTGTTACTGCTTTTTATGGTCGAGTAGTATTCCACTGAATGGATGTTTCATAGTGTGCTTATCCATTAGCCAGCTGATAGACAATTGAGGTTTTTTTCAATGTTGGGTTATTATAAATAATACTACAAACAGAGTATACATGGTTTAGTGGGAGCACAGTTTTATTCCTGTTGAGCAAGTACCAATAAGCGGATCTATTAGGTCATGTGCAAAGTGTATGTACAACCCATGGAAATTGTATACAGATACTCCTGTTTAACAACCGAGTTATGTCTCCGTGACCAGGTCATTAAAGGAATTGGTCCCTAAATGAGGAATTGGCTACAGTAGGTACATTACAATAATCAGAACAAAGAAATGGTCAATGGAAACTCCATCTGGGAGGCTGCCTTTATTTGCATAACTCTTACATGCAGCACTGTAATGTATAACAGCACATAAAACCACAGCACTCAATGTACAGTACAGTCAGCACAAACTACAGGATTGTACTGTAGAAGAAGCCGCCATTTGGCACCCTTTACCCCAGCTCCTTAGTCCCCGTTATCAGGGTGGCTTTGCCTCCAGAGGGCGCAGCCTGGACTGGAGCAGCACACTGATTCTAGCCTGTCGCTTCCTCTAAAGATCTTCTGCCTGATCCATTTCCCATTGCAAATGGCCCTTAACATATCAATGCAAACACCAGAGATTATGCAACACCCTCATGTGTTCCAAATAATACAGTGTCAGTAACTTAAAAGCAAGCCAAATTAGAACACCGTGAATCATCTCCCCTCAATGAAAGACTCAGGAGAAAAAAACCAGCAAATATTAAATGGTCTTTTAAAGTTAAGCCCAAATGTTGCAAGGTCCAGGACAAAGCAATGAAAGTTCAAATTCACTCTCTGCAATTATGCCCTTGCTGAGAAGTCTTGGCCCATGTTCCGGCAGAGACTGGCTTTGCCATTTGACCAGATGTGGCCTCCCCGTAAGGACTGGGCTCCACAGGACCGCCTGGCCTGAGTTAACCTGACGGTGACCATGCCTGTTCCATGCCCTACTTTAGGGTGAGCAGTGCCAGCCCCACAGCCACAGTTTGGGAAGTACCATGTGAGTCACTCTCCTACCACACTCCTGCTCACGAACCTATGCTCCTGGGAGTCGATGTTTGAGACCACTGAGTCCAGTGCCTGTGGTCAAAATGGTTCCTTGGTGCCTGGGAGCAAGAGGGTAGGTGGAGAATGGAGAGAAAAACAAGCTCTGCTTTCAGCCTACTCAACGCTGATAAGTTCCAGTTGTGTGGACTCCGCTGCCTCTGGGATGGTCTTCCCTCAGGGAGGTAATTAGAATGTCACAGTTGTCACCTCTCTGGGGACGAGACGGGATACACTCGGGTTAAAATCTGTACCGCGGTCGCCTCCATTTCTTCTCCTATATTAATATGTGCCCTTGCTGTGACCATTTGACCCCATCTGGCACCAGCTCCCCTCTTTCCTGGGCAGCTGCTCTGAGTGAGCTGCTGGGGCCCTCTATGTGCTCGTCCCTACGAAGCAGCCCCCACTCCTTCGCTCCTGCCTTAAGTGCTGCTGAGGCCGGGGGTGTCAGGAATCTGCAGAGGGAGGTCCTCCTGGACACTGCTGTCCTTGCCTTGAACCGCCTGAGCCCGGAGTAAATCATCCCTGGTGGTAGCAGGAGCACCATCCCCCGTGGTCATGTCCTTTCTCTGCCCTGTGAGATCCATCCCCGTGTTCTCTTTCCCCTGCTCCAGGGTGGCTGGGCTTTTGGCATTTTTACCTGCTTTGAAGTGTCCTCTGTGCTGTGTCTGTTTGGCTTTGGTTTCCTTTCATTTGTCCACTGCAGGCTCAGCATTCACCTCCTGCGGCTGCTCCAGCTTCCCTAAGCACCTGCTTGTTCAGGAGTCCAAGCAGATTTGCTTGCACCTTGCTGAGCAGATTCCCAGCCTCCTCTGTAGAGCCACAGACACCTTAGATGAGTCTAGACAGCTGGTGGATTTGGGGGCTCCCTTTGGTGTGTTTCGCCTGCCTCCCTACACTCCCAGGGCCCATGCATATGACCACCATGTGTCTAGGAAAGCTCTCCACCCATCAGAATTTGGTCATGTTTGGTCACAGCTGTCCAGACATCTGCAGGTGGCTCTCGACGCACTGGCTTGGGAGCTCTTGGTGGTGCCCTGGCGTACTATTACCTTGGGGAGTCAGCCCTTGACTTATGCCTCTTTCTCTTGATGAGTTCTAAGCCAATCAAGGAGTGACTGAAGGGTGACCTGCTGGAAACTTCTCTGCTTGAGGCTGAGCTTCCCTGCCTCAGGGGACAGAACACACTCAGAGCAGAGGACAAACACCTGCTCACCAGGAGGCCCAGCAAGCACAGAACAGTACCTTTCTCTTACCCACTGGGGCACTGACAACATTACAGCTGGACCCCATCCCAGCTGTTAGACAGGCTACCCATCCTTGAGGACAGAGTTGAGAGGCAGGCTGGACAAGTGGAGCAGGGAGAAAACTTCTTAGGGGTAGACAGACTGTCGCAGAGCTCCCTAAGCCCAACCTTCTTGATCACAGCTCTGAAGCTCCTGACCTTGAGATCAGCTGGGTCCAGGGAATGGACAGCAATAATAGCTCTGACATGCTCTCTTCCCTCTTGGCTCCTCTCTACCCCTTGCCACTGTATCAGAGCTAATGCCACTTCTCCATCCAGAACTTGCTTCCAATAAAGAATCAGAGAGAAGATATAGGCATAGATCTTTTTTCTTTTCTTTTTTGGTACCAGGGATCGAACTTGGGTCCTGGTACTTTCAAGTCAGGCAGTGAGCTAAAGTGAACTAAATCCCTGGCCCTAGGCATAGTTTTTATTACCTTCAGGAGTTTATTTGGTCCAGTCCACGAGTGGGGTCCAGTTCCAAGGTGCCATCAGGAATCAGGAGTTCTGCAATGGCCACACAGAAGCAGCACAGGCAGGCTTGGCAGTGTGCATGCACCTGAAGGTGCTCTGAACTAGCTTTCCTCAACAGATGTGGAAAAAGAAAGCCACAGCACGTGGCCTCCTCCCCAGGGCTGTGCCGTGATTTGCACCTTGAACACAAATGGCAGAATATTTTAAACAGAAACACTAGGCTGAGTCCGAGGTACTCATGGGACGACATCAATTCTTTCAACCAGTTTAACTGAAGTAATAACAAGAACAGCAGCAAAAATGCCACTGACGGTGATAAAAGTGGTGGTGATGGTGGTTATGATAATGGTGACATTAGCAGTGACGGTGACATTGATGGTGAGTGCATGGCATGCTAAGTCTATGCCAGGGACAATGTTCTCTCCCTCCTTATGACAAGGGAAGCACTGAGAAGCATTTTGGAGAGTGGTCCAGCTTAAGCAGTGACAAATTAGTGGATGCTTACTCCCTGCTGTCCTAAGGAGTGCTCAATGTATTGTCCTCAAAACTGCAGACGGAGTCAGGGAATACTCTCAGGATTTCTCCCCTATTCACTTCCAGAAGTTCTCTGTTTGCCTATTTGTGAGTCATTTATGAATAACCAGTGGGGAGCCTCGTCACCGAGATACATCCACCACACTTGGCTCTGCCCGGGGCTGCAGACGTCGTCTCCCAAGGTGGTACAAACAAACAATTATCACCGTCTTCACAGATCCTGCACTCAAAATTGCTTGTCGGACTTGGGAATAGCACTTTTCTTTTGCAAGAAGATCATGTCTATGTGTGCTGCAATTGGACTCTGCTTTGGTTTGTGTCATTGCTAAGATGTAATAAGGTTAGCCAGGATTGAAATAACTGTCACCGAGTCTCTTGAAAGCAAGACTGCCTTCGGCAGGGAATAAAAAGTGGGTGAAAATGCATGTAATGGATTTGCATTCAGAGCTGGCCAAGGACTTGGTGCTGAGGAAAATGAGTGGCCCAGCAGGCCTTCCTTGCCCAGAGTCTGGGTAGCCCTGTGTGCCGGGGTAGGGATGTTTCCCTGCTTCTTATCAATGCATCTGGTGTCCATCAAAGAGCCTAGTCTGGGTGATGGGAGGGTGTGTGGGATTCATGTGGAGAGGGAATGGAGACTTTAAAATACACACATGGCAGCATGAATTCCAGCTCCCTTACTTGCTGAGCATGTGGTCTTGGACCTGTTTCAGATCTGTAAGTGGAGAAAGTGCATTGTGACCTCCTGGATTATCAAAAATGCTTGATGAGATGAGGTGTATGAACCATGAGAAGTCACAGGTGTTGGAAGCTGGAGGTCAGGGGTGTTCTCCCCTCTCACTCTGCCCCAATCTGGCATGACCATCTGAGTCTTTGGACCTCCTCTGAGTCGCCTGCCTCCAGGTCAGTCTGCCACCCCATTGTCGCTGTGTTCTCATTCAGCCCACGCTTGTGTTAACCCCACATCTGGTTATCTTTGAGGGTTTAGTGAGATTCCAACAACATAATGTACCAGAGAGACATGAAGGAGCTGATGTAAGATTAAAAATTTCCACTTTCAGATAAGGACTATTTACTCATTAAATTTAAACCCTATTTCCAGGAAGTCTAACCCTACACCTTGTCTCTGATACTTCCTTCTTGGTGTGAACTCCACAAAGTTGTTATTGTTTAAGTCCAAAAACAGCTGAATAGTTGGCAATTTTATAAGGTTCAGGTCTGCAGCTTTAAACTCATCTCACTTCTCCAAGGTCCAGGGCTTTGTGTGCTCGCTAGAAATCACCCCACCCCACCAGGCAGTCATGGACTGCCGAATGCTGAGTACCTCTTGGCTAACTGTGAGCCTTTGCAACAGTACTCTGGGCTGTATGCTAGCTGGCTGTCCCTGCATGAGGGGAATCTCTCTCTATGACCCCCACCTGCAAGGCCACTGGACATGGTACACAGGCTGCATCACCCATTGATCAAAATATCTTTTAAAAGAGCAGTGCAATGATTTCCGAGTTGGAAACAGGCAAACTTCTTCTTGTCTGACCTGCCACCTTATGCAGGAATGCCATGGAAAGAGCCACAGAAGATTGTTTGGGAGTCTGGATTTTTCTCCCTCTGTAGTGACCTCAATGTTGCAGCCTGAGGCAGCCCTGGGCTTCGAACACAAAGGACAGACTCCTGCATGGGCTCACTTGAATCGATCACATGTGAACTGTGAGGTGTAGTACGTGTGTGTGGGATGCGGTATGGTATGTGGTATGATGTGTGTAGTCAGACGACTGAATTTACTGTCCCTGACTCCCTGGGCACACTTTCCAGAGCCACAGAGCAGAGCAGAGGACACGCCCCAGCAGTGGGGCAGGTGCAGTGTCGCTATCTCCAGTCCAGTGCTGCTCCAGCTTATGGAGGTCACTCTGCGCTCACCTGGCTGTCCTGTTAGGACTTCCGCTCTTCCTCCTGCATGTTGGGTCAGCATAGGCTGCTACGCCAGCTCTTAGCTCTCCACCCATTTAATTCTCGGTTCTTTTAAAAAAACACTTATTAAGCAGAATTTCAGACAATATTAATAAGAGCCGTTCCACAGCAGGCGGGGACTCCTCTGAGATATCTCTGCCTGTAGGCATGCTAGTTTTATTGGGTTGAATTCACCCAATTGCCCACTTCTCTTCCTCTGTACATAGGAAATATCTGTTGGTTGGATGGTTGATTTTATTTGTCCTGAAATTACTTTTCCTGGCTTTGGAACATTCCAGGGTTTAATGAACAGTCAAGGGCTTCTTCCTTTGCCCACATTTTATGACACTACTCAACATACTTCAGTGTTTGACAAATGCAAAGGTCTGTGATTATTGAAAGCACTTTAATTATAGCAACAATTACCTGTTTATCACCTAGTGGTGCTCGACCAGGCAGTAGAGCCTCCTCCTCCCACCCTCCTGGCCACCGCTCCAGCCCGGTTTGCAACTACATCGTGATTTATATGGCTCTAGGGCCTCCAGGTGCCTGCCACATGTCTCTCTGAGCCTTGTTTCTTCTTGTCGGAAGGAGGGTAAGACAGGCTTTGGTTCCACCTCCAAAGTCACACATGGGAAGCCTCAGATGAGGGCCTTCTGCACCAGGCCAGGCCCCTTCTGCCTGTAGCGTTTTATGATGCTGTTTGGTTCCTATCTGGGGAAGGCACCTGGGGCTCCCCACTTTCCACACACATTCCCTCTGACACCCCTAAAGAGGCCAGTGACTGCCCTTCCCACACCACAGGCATCCCTGATGGAGCAGCGGTCCCCAAGGGAGGGGTCCTTACCAATGTCCCGGATGGAGAGGAGAGGTCCTTATCTGATGTCCTGGATGGAGGGGTCCTTACAGGTGTCTGTTTGGGGGGTGATTACATGATGTCCTGGAAGGGGTTCCTCTCTGGTTGAATGGGCCTTCCTTGACATCCGGGTGCCAACTGAGGAACTCCATTTAGATGAGATCGGGCATGTTCAGGGTGGTATGGCCATAGATGAGGAACTCCATTTAGGAAAAGGGTGCCAAGCTGTGGCTTCTGTCCTCAAGCAGAGCACACAAGCCCCTCTTCATGTCAACAGGTATCCTGCTGGGCATCCTTAGGATCCAAGTGCTTAATGCATTTGTGATTCTATCTTGGTTTGGTGTTTTGAGAGCAAAGGCCTGGACACTCGGGGTGGAACCTTAGCAAGGATCCGGTTGCCATGGCCACCTAGTCTTTCTCTGCCACTGGTGGTGACCAGCAGTACTGGCCCTACTCAGCCTGAGGCTGCTGGGGTAAATGTGCCTACAGAGGACATTCTTCATGGGACTATATATGTGGCTCACAATATATAGTCCTCTGGCTCGACTGGACTCCAACCATAATGTGGACCGCAGAGGAATCCCTTCTAGCCTCTCTCGTGCATGGCACGGAAGGCAGAAGGACTCCAGGTCTCCTAAGTCTGGGCCCACTTGGGTGTCACCTGGTATGCGGTCCTACTCTCTGGCAGCTTAGTTCTGCAGTGCCCGCCGATAGACCCTGACCACAGGGGGTTGGAACCTCCCCTGTCCTTGGCCCTCTTTCCTGTTCTGTCCCTCATGCTGTGTCAGGAGACGCAGAGAGCTGGCACCTTGGCACCTCCCCAGTCCGTGTCTACTGACCCCTCCCAGCCCTCCCCGAGCTAGGAAATGACACCATTCCAGTGTCCTCCCGGGGCCCAGTGTGTGCCTCTCTACCCTCAGTCCATTGTGCCTGCCTGAAACGAAGACCAAGGCACACTTGCTTTCTGCCCCAGCTCCACCCCTGCAGTGACCTGGAACAGAGCCTTCACAGCAGCTGCTATGGGGCTGTTGTCCAAGTGAGGAAGCTGAGGATTGGGGAGTGAGGGTGACACAGCTAGAGGAAGACAGGGCTGGCACCATGTGCGTATCTGTGTGAGGACAAATCCCAAACTCTCAGCCACTTGTACCATCTGGGAGTCAGTGGAGACCCCCTCCCTTGCAGCCTCCAGAGGTCCTAGGGTGGCCCAGGCTCAATGAGCAGCCATCCTTGGGCTCCCATGCAGGGCAGTCTGTGGGACAGGGCTGGAGGCAATGGCCCTGGGGCTGCCCACACCCTGGGAGGCTGACGGGGACTCAGCTGGGGAAGTCTCCTGAGCACTCAGGGGCTCAGTGGCTGGACTTGGGGACCCAGGCACCAGGAGTTCCAGCCCTGTTCACTTCCTCCATGTCCTGCTGGTCAGCTCAGGTTCAAGGAGGGGAAAGTTGGATTCATCTCTTGATGTGAGGCTGAGCGGGCAGGCAGTGAAGGTGGGAGCCTCAGGCAGCTAATGCACCCTGAGGATCACAGCATCTGGAGCCTGGTGTGGGGCCTCCATCCTCAGAGTGTCACCCACTTCTGCCATCCACACCACCCGATTCTCATACAAGAGGCCTCCCTAACTCAGCCTGTGTCTCTCCGAGTTCCCAGGTGTGAGAATATCCCAGGGCATGGCCAGGTCTGAGGGAGCTGCCAAGTATCTCTGATGGGCAGAGCAGCTTAGAGTGTGACATCATCCATGCCACTGCAAGATGCCATTGGCTCCTTATCCTCAAGAAAGTAAGACAGGGCTGGGTGTGGTGGTGTGTGCCTGTAATCCCAGAACTTCAGGAGGCTGAGGGAGGAGGATCCCAAGTTCAAGCCCAGCCCCAGCATTGTACCACCTTGGGGATACCTGTCTCAAAATAAACCATAAAAAAGGGCTAGGTGTTTAGCTCAGTGTAAAGGTCCTGGGTTCAATCCCCAGTATTGAAAAAAAAGAAAACTAGAGACGGGGACATGGCCACCTCCCCCCCACACACACACACTTCCCAGGGTTCCTGAAAGAGCAGGTGCTCGGGAGGCTCCTTGGAGTTGAACATAGAATTAGCAGAATGTGACTTTTGCCTTCACGGCAAAGGCAGGAAGCTCAAACGAGCAGTAATTAGGGCTGACGGTTCTGTTGCTTGGTAATAATATCCTAAACTTATAAAAATAACTGGAAATGGGAAGTTGCTGATGGCTGAACATGCCCTGGGGGCCTGGGGCTCCTCCTGGGAGCTAAGGGTGCCTGCATGCCAGCATTTTGGAGGCAGATGTAGAAATGCAAGGTCCGACCAGCTGGCCAGCTCAGAGGACGCATGTGGAGATGGCTTCTTGCCACCCCGGGGACAGTCAAGTTGAGTACATCAGCTGGCACAGGCTCCCCCGTGGCAGATGGTCCCTGTTGTCCCTGAGCATTAGCCTGGCATTCATCCTGATACAGCATTTGGGGTTCTCTCAAGTGCCCTTTACTAAATCCTTTGGCGATGCCTATTTGGAGCCTGAGTACTTCAGGACGCCCTGAGTGGTTCTCCAGGAAAGGTAGCTATGGGGCGTGTTCCCTGCTAGTGACCTGGCATACTTTGGAAAAGACTCCACAAGGACAGGCTTTTTGCTTTTTCAAGGGAGCATGATGGGAGAGAAGACAGACTGACAGGAGAGCCTGGTGCTGTGCTGCCCACTCTCCTTGCTGCCTACTCTTCACCACTGCCCCTCTGCCAGAGACGTGGGCATGGCTCCTTCCTCCTGAGCTCCCTGGCCTTCACCTCCCAGCGGGATGGCACCATCTGCCTCGAAGGGTTGTGTGCATGATTGGATGAGATTACAAATACAAAACGGCACATGTCCCTGGCATCCAACATGTCCTTGTCTTCAGAAGTTCCCAGTAGCATGGACGGATGGCACAGACCTGGCCCCACGCCAGCTTTGCTGCCAATGAAGCAGCACGTTTCCACAGGAAGAGACAAAACATGACATGGAGGGAGGAGAGAGGGAGTCGATAAATCTGATCAGAGTGTGTGACAGGCGTGCTGACCTCACCACAGGGACCTGTGCTGTCTCTGCACAATGCAGTCTATGTATGAAGCCACTCTGCACAGGTAATAGCTATCAGCGTTATCTTAAGAGAACCTTCCATGGGCTGGGTGCTAAGAGGCTGACTGAGGTCTCCGAGGACTCTAAGAATGTAGCATCGTAGGCTCTTGGGTCCCCTCTTACATGTGCCCTAAAACTGAGGCCTGGGC